TCTCTAGGTTAAGTTAAAAATGCAGATCGTTTTAAAGTATTCTTTATTATAAAGTACATTAATTTATAATTTTAAAAATAAAGTATGCTTAAACAAATAAAGTGTATTTGGTTTATAATTGTCTTCATATTTTGTTTTATTAATAATGATAAAAATATCATTTCCTTTTTTTATTTTTTTAATGTTTGTAATAAAAATAAATAAAAAAATTTAACGTATAAATAAAATGACATTTTATAATTCTTAATAAAAGTAAAAATATTTTCACAAACTAAATGTACCAAACGTTTGAATTCACCTTTAATACCCAAGATTTTGTTTTACACATTGTGCTTTTTAAAAAATGAACAGCTTTTAATTAATTTTTAAACTAAAATTTTTATATTATCATTAAACAGCTTGTAACTTTATTTTTAAATCTGTATTTTTTAATTTTTAAATTAGAAGTAACTTTTAACTTAAAAAAATGAGTAAAGACCCAAATTGGTCCCTGACAAAAAACTCGGTGCCCAAATTAGTCCCTCACAAAAATAAACTCGTTAGATAGTCCCCAACAAAGTGAAACAGGACCCACGTTAGTCCTTCTGTCAATCCAAAACTCACGGTCTCAATGACGGTGATGACGTGTCACGTTAAGTGACATGCTAGAGGCCACGTGGGTTGAGGAACGACGTCGTTTTGAGAGACTCATCCACGTTGGTCAGTATGGTCCCTAACAGTTTTAACAAAGGGGACCAGTATGGTCCCTAACATTTTTATCGAGGTCCTTTTTAGTCCCTGCTAAAGTTCTGTTAACACCAGTGCCACCATTTGCTATTAACACACCAACAATGTCATTTCCCCTTGTACATGCTGATATTAGTCATGCATAACACAATCAACTTCTACATAATTCACACCATGACATTCTTAGTTTAGTCTTTATATATTGTTTCCATTCCTTTTTTTATCTCCATCGAGTTTATACAACATTTTGTGCCAATAAACATAACGTCAAATACATAAGTCAAGCTACATACATTGCATGAACAACAATTTATTACACAAGCAAATCTCAACAAAACCACATTTTAAATTTCACTCCAGCCTACTTGCAAGATGTATACATACTAGAAACACAACAATAATAGATCCAGCAAACACCCTAGCACACATACACACATGCATCATTTCCTTCTCAACACCCTAGCAAACACCCATACACACCAGTAAACACCCTAGCACACATACACACATGCACACATGCATCATTTCCTTCTCAACACATGCACACATATACACACACAACTTCAAATACATAAGTCATGCTACATACATATACACATATACACAAACACCCTAGCACATATACACATGCACATAACTTTTTTTACTCCAGCAAGTGTTGAAAAGGAAATGATGTGTTGGATTGTTTGGGTTCTGAATGCCCTCCAACTACTACTGCACAATATGTTGTGTTGTAATTTGGTCTCTACGTTATTGCACTTGGAACCGGTGGTGTAAAAGCATGTGTGTCACTTTTTGGGGAAGATCAGTTTAATGATACTGATCCCAAGGAAAGGGTTAAGAAGGGATCATTTTTCAACTGGTATTACTTTTCTATCGACTTAGGTGCCGTTGTATCATGCAGCTTAATTGTATGGATTCAAGACAATGCAGGATGGGGTCTTGGATTTGGCATTCCTGCTTTAATTATGGGATTATCTATTGGAAGTTTCTGTTTAGGAACACCTCTATATGTGCTAGGGTGTTTATGTATATGTGTATATGTATGTAGCATGACTTATGTATTTGAAGTTATGTGTGTATATGTGTGCATGTGTTGAGAAGGAAATGATGCATGTGTGTATGTGTGCTAGGGTGTTTGCTGGTGTGTATGGGTGTTTGCTAGGATGTTGAGAAGGAAATAATGCATGTGTGTATGTGTGCTAGGGTGTTTGCTGGATCCATTATTGTTGTGTTTCTAGTATGTATATATCTTGCAAGTAGGCTGGAGTAAAATTTAAAATGTGGTTCTGTTGAGATTTGCTGGTGTAATGAATTGTTGTTCATGCAATGTATGTAGCATGACTTATGTATTTGAAGTTATGTTTATTGGCACAAAATGTTATATAAACTCGATGGAGATAAAAAAAGGAATGGAAACAATATATAAAGACTAAACTAAGAATGTCATGGTGTGAATTATGCAGAAGTTAATTGTGTTATGCATGACTAATATCAGCATGTACAAGGGGAGATGACATTGCTGGTGTGCTAATAGCAAATGGTGGCACTGATGTTAACAAAACTTCAGCAGGGACTAAAAAGGACCCCGATAAAAATGTTAGGGACCATACTGGTCCCCTTTGTTAAAACTATTAGGGACCATACTGACCAACGAGGATGAGTCTCTCAAAACGACGTCGTTCCTCAACCCACGTGGCCTCCAGCATGTCACTTAACGTGACACGTCATCACTGTCATTGACACCGTGAGTTTTGGATTGACAGAAGGACTAACGTGGGTCCTGTTTCACTTTGTTGGGGACTATCTAACGAGTTTATTTTTGTGAGGGACTAATTTGGGCACCGAGTTTTTTGTCAGGGACCAATTTGGGTCTTTACTCTAAAAAAATATAATCATCGGGTCATGTTTGTAATTTTTAAATCTCTATTTTTAAATTTTTAAATAATTATTTGAGTATGTTTATAATTTTTTTAATATAAATTATAGATTTACGTATAATCACCGGATCGGTTCAACCAATGAGCTACTAATGAAACCAATAACCTAATAATCTAAGGGAATTGTTTTTGTTATGTTACATAATATAAAAGCAAATTTCCTACTATCACAAAAGGAAGAGAGAGGAGAGAGAATAGGAAAAAGAGAAAAAATTTAAAGTGGATCCCATATAAAATTTGTGTGTGTAGGAAGATGAGTTTATGTTATGTAACATAATAAAAACAATTCCCATAATCTAAGGGAATTGTTTTTGTTATGTTACATAATATAAAAACAAATTTCCTACTCTCACAAAAGGAAGAGAGAGGAGAGAGAATAGGAAAAAGAAAAAAAATTTAAAATGGATCCCATATAAAATTTGTGTGCGTAAGAAGATGAGTTTATGTTATGTAACATAATAAAAACAATTCCCATAGTCTAAGGGAATTGTTTTTGTTATGTTAGTAATATAAAATCAAATTTCCTACTCTCACAAATGACTGAACCGCATCAATATGACTGAACCGATTTTAGGAAAGCGAAATGACTCCATTTTCTAAATTGGCATGGCATCAACCCGCATCAAGTCAAATAAAAAGTCAAGCGTTCGTTCCTTTTTGGAAGAGAAAAACCATTTGCATTCCAATTCAATGTTGTAATTTTCGTTTCTACCTACTTTGCGGCATTTTTTTTGGTGTTCCATGTTCGACGTGGTTCTTCCTTTCAAGAGGTAACACTTGAATAAAAAGTTTTTTTTTTTAAGTACAAGTGGAGGGCTGAAAACACAAGAAACAACTAAGCAAGCCTGAGAACAATCAGCTTCCATTAACCTTAATAGCTCCTGTGGTGGTCTGGCAAGTAAATGCAGACGTCGTTCCAAATGATGGACATATCCAGCCAACCAATGCGCACAATGATTAACGTGTCGGAGAACATGTGAACTTTGCACATCCCATTGCTTGTGAAGCCACTCTTGGATATCAATGACATTAGAGGCATCACCTTCCACTATTAGTTTTCGAATTCCAATCTGCCAGGCTAACTGCAAATCTGTGAGCACACCGTTTAGTTCAGCTTCAAGAGGGTTAGTGTATCCTAAATCTTCGATGAATCCACTCATCCACTCTCCTTTTTCATTTCTTACAAGTGTAAGGGTTTTTCTTATGAGATAAGGAGAAAGACGTAACAGAAAGAGAGATTGAAGAGGATGAGAGAGAAAGGGTAATTAGAGAGAGATTGTCCAACTTTTCTTAGTTTTTCATTCGCGCCCCTCATGGGCTTTATACTAACTAATACAGTATTCTCTCCTCTCAATACTGAACATCTATTATCATTCTTTTTTTTTTTTTTTTTGGGGAGGAGGGCTTTAAAGTATTCTTTATTATAAAGTAAATTAACTTATAATTTAAAAATAAGTATGCGTAAAAAAATAAAAAATATTTTGTATATAATTGTTTTCACATTTGTTATATTAATAATGATAAAAATATCATTTTCTTTTTTATTTTTTTTGAATATTTTTAATAAATATAAATGGAAAAAAAGTTTCTCATGTCACAAAAAATAAAACTACGTTATTTTAAGAATTGGAAGAATTCATTAAGAATATTTTAAGAAATGTATTTGTTTATTTGTCATATAAATTTCATCAAAATCATCCTTCATTAATTCTCTCAATCCTCAAAATGACATAATTTTAAAATTGTCTGCGACAATTTTATTTCTTGTGACAGAAAGAAACGATAAACCCTAAATAAAAATAATAAAAAGTTAGCGTAAAAATAAAATGAAATTTTATAATTCTTAGTAAAAATAAAAATATTTTGTTTTATACCATACAGATTAAAAAAAATCTATTTAATTTACATTTTGAAAAAATGCAGTATGACAACTGACAAAAGCACATAAGAGTTTATCTAAAATAAATAAATAAATATTGTATTGATATCCTCGTCCTTGTACTTATTCTTTACTGAGCTTGAACTCTTGTAGAAGACTCGTTCGGGGTTGCAATTGCAAGACGTTGATGGAAAAGGAATTAGGACCAGTCAACAAAAACTAATACCTGAAGGTTTTACAAATAAATATGCAAATAATAAAATGTTAATTTAACCGAAAGTAACAAACAGACAGAACAAAGGAGCAGTTGAATTGAAAAAGGTTGTCGTTTATTTAACTTTGTACTGCGGTGGAAAGCGAAATGACTCCAATTTCTACATGGGCATGGCATCTACGCGCATCAAGTCAATTTAAAAGTCAAGCGTTCGTTCCTTTTCGGAAGAGAAAAAACCATTTGCATCCCAATTCAATGTTGTGATTTTCGTTCCTACCCAACCTGCTTCCGGTGGTGGTGGTTGGTTGTGACCCACCCATTTCCTCCTCCAATAATTCATATCCTTCACTGTAACAATGGAGCTTTTGAATCCTTCTCATCCTCCTCATCCTCACCATGCAGCACCTACCTCGATTTTACACCTTGGCTTTCACCGTGTGCCCTCTTCTGTTCAATCTCAGATACCCCAACCTATGGAAGAACGTGCATGTAAGGTTCATGTAGCCGTTGGGAAATCGCTCGAGAAAACTGTCAACTTGCTTAAATGGACTTTCAACCAGTTTCGGAACACAGAAATCATCATAATTCATGTTTATCAACCTTCTCTCTTGATCCCCACTTTATGTAAGCTCAATTGATTCAATTTTAGATGTAAAATTAATATGCTTTTGATATGCCAATTTGGCTTATGTTGCTCAATTTTTTGTTGCGAATTCGTTTTGATATATTGAGCAGTGGGGAAATTGCCAGCATCCCAGGCTAATCCTGAAGTGGTGTCTGCTTTTCGAAGAGATGAAAGAGAACAGATCATGAGGCTTTTAAACAAGTGCTTGAGCATTTGCCGCGCGGCTAAGGTAAATGCTCTCATTTCTGCTTGTTCTTTTGCATTTTGGTATTTTCTGTAACTGTCTTGGTGGGCAAAAGCACCTAATAATGCATTAAATCCTGCTAATGATCATTCTGTTTTCATGTTTTCTGCCTCCAGGATCTGTGAGTAATTATAACTTGATTTATTTATGTTAAAAGGAAAACCCTTTATTAATTGTCCTTGTTGATATACATTTCTTGTCAGGTTAAGGCTAGCATTATTGTTACTGAAGCTGACCAAGTCCAAAAAGGAATTGTTGATTTGGTTATTAGGAACAATATTAGGAAGCTTGTTATCGGAGCAGTGCCAGAAAAGTAAGTACTGCATTGATTTTCTACTTAACCATTGTTCTTTGGATTTGTCTTAGATTCTTCTTTCTTTCTTTTGCTGTATTTCTTTTTTCTTTTTCTTTTTCTTTTTGTGTGTGTGTGTGTGTGTTGGGGGTGGGGAGGAGTTTGTTTCTTCTGTATAAAACTACCTTGTTAGTCTGCATTGAACTTGGTTTATTTGCTTCATGGATTCATTCAAGTGGATTGGAAAAAGTTAATTTTATTCTTTTGACCCTCAAGTATTTCGTATCCCTATGTCCATCTTTTGTATAGAGAGTAGAGACTGACAAAACTTGTGGTATCTTTCTTTGATAACTTGAACCATACAATCTGCTTCAGAAATTTCTTTTCTTTCATAGAAGGGAAAAATAAATCTTTTCACTTACAAAATCATAATTGAAAATTGCAGTTGGATGAAAATGAAAAGGAATTCCAGTAAAGCAAATTATGCTGCCAAAAATGCTCCCCCATTCTGTGAAATATGGTTTATCTGTAAAGGTAAACACATTTGTACAAGAGAGGCTTCCGAAACATCATGTTCTTTATCTTCATGTACTCAACCTGAGATTGTAGCCACAGAAAGCTTGAGATGTGAATCTTCTCAATATGGTAAGAATGAATTATTCCATTCAGAATATCTTCAATCAAATTCTGCAACAACTACCACATGTTCCAGAATTAGAAGTTGGGTTCAGGGTGAAATTATTGAAACCGAAGCCACTTTTTCATCCAAATCATCCAATTGTAACAGTCATTGTTCCCCCCAAAATTCTTCTGGGGTATATTTAGATACATATTTAGAGGTCACGGAAGAAAGTATTAATAGTCAACTTGCTGAAACCAAAAGAGAAGCTGAGGCAGCAACAGATGAGGCATTTGAAGAGCTATTGAAGTGCAAGAGGTTGGAAGTCGAAGCCATGGATGCCATAAGGAAGGTAAGCATGATCCAGTGATTTAACATCATTTAGGACTCTTGTTAGCAAAGGAGCTTCTGGTCTTTGCATTTATTGTTCTTGCTAGTCATGAGGCATTAGGCATGCTGTCTTATGTATTTTAGAAACTTTGAAAAAGTATTAAAATAAGAGAGGATCCCTCTGCATCGTACTGGGATCCTGTACACAAGTTTCTGAAACTTAAACATTTTAGAATAAAATTGTAGAAGCAGCACTTTGAACTGGTTTGCCCTAGTTCACTCTGATTTGTTTAAATGTGTCAGTTCAGAAATTTCTCAGACATGATGTTATATGATTGAGCTGTACATCTCCGAATTAGTGACTAATGAGGATATTGAGTCTATAGTATCATTAATATTTGAATAACATGACATCTGCCCAAACCTAAGTTATATATCCTATCTTCAGGTCAATTTCTTTGAATCTGCCGTTGCACGTGAAGTGAAGCTCAGAAAAGAGGCTGAGGATGCACTGAGAGTTACAGTACAAGAACAACAAAAGATCTTGGATGAGAGCGAAGAAATTGCTGGTGAGCTACAAATGACCATGAGAAATATTACCCTACTTGATAGTCATTTTCAGGAAGCAAACCGAAGGCGAAATGAAGCTGCAGACGAACTATCACTAATTCAAGCATCCATCTCAACCCTGTGGCAAGAAAGGCAGCAGATCAGGAGACAGAAAATGGAAGCCCTCCGCTGGCTCGAGCGGTGGAAAAGTCGTGGACAAGTTGGAGCAGCTCATTGCAATGGGGTCATTGGGTTTGCTGAAGATTTGCCTGAGTTAGCAGAATTTTCATTATCAGATCTTCAAAATGCCACTTGCAATTTTTCCGAGAGCTTTAAAATCAGGCAAGGTGGATATGGTTGTATATATAAGGGGGAAATGTTGGGTAGGACTGTTGCTATAAGGAAGTTCCATCCACATAACACGCAAGTACCCGCAGAGTTTTATCAAGAGGTGAGTTCATAATGGTCTTTCTGCTTTTGAAATTGTTATCTTGAAATGATTTTGGGATGGCTTGAGAGGATTGGAGGTGGAAGCATGATTTTGAGGCCTTTGGGTTTTTATATATATTTATTTCTTTCCTCACATTAGTAAATGGAGATGTGTTATACTATAATTAACTGTAAACTTTCTCAACTGTTTTTCTGTGTTTGTTTGATTCAACTAAAGTTGTCCTTTTGTGAGCAGGTTCAAGTTCTTGGTTGTCTCCAGCACCCACATTTGTTGACTTTGCTTGGTGTTTGCCCCGAAGCCTGGTCAATTGTATATGAGTACGCCCCCAATGGAAATCTTCAAGACTACCTATTCCGAAAAAGAAACAATTCCCCTCTACCATGGAATACCCGAGCACGAATGATTGCTGAAATCGCTAGTGCACTCTGCTTCTTACATTCTTCTAAACCTGAAACAATTATCCATGGTGATCTGAAGCCTGAAACTATACTTCTTGATTCTTCGCTTAGTTGCAAGATATGTGAATTTGGGTTCTGCAGGCTGGTGACAGAGGAGTCTCTCTATCGTCCTAGTTTCCGCTTGAGCACTGAGCCAAAGGGTGCTTTCACATATACGGATCCAGAGTTTCAGAGAACTGGAATACTAACACCCAAGTCTGACATCTACTCCTTTGGGATCATCATTTTGCAACTTCTCACCGGTAGGACTCCTGTTGGATTAACAGTTGTAGTTCGCAGCGCAGTTTCATGTGGAAAAATGTCTTCAATTCTGGATTCTTCAGCTGGAGAATGGCCTTCAGCTGTGGCAACACGTTTGTTTGAACTAGGATTGCAATGCTGTCAACTAAATCGAAGAGACAGACCAGAGTTAACACCTACTCTAGTAAGAGAATTGGAGCAGTTGCATGTTTCAGAAGAACGACCTGTGCCATCTTTTTTCTTATGTCCAATCCTTCAGGTAACTGATACTTTTTTATTAATAAAACTTAACTGGGTTCAGTAGGCCCCGTAAAAGAGCTAATGAATCACTGAGTGCATGTCAGGACTGAGGACTCAAAATTGTTTTTGACCTATTCTGAAGGATCCATTTTTTTCTTCTTCTTTTTATAGCTAAAGTTAGTTATGGTGTTCTGTGTGGCTCATGTTTTTGTTGGATCCCTTCTTCAGGAAATAATGCATGATCCTCAAGTTGCAGCAGATGGATTTACCTATGAAGGGGATGCCATACGTGAATGGTTGGAAAATGGGCATAATACTTCTCCAATGACTAATTTAAAATTGAGTCACCTTCTTCTTACTCCCAATCACGCACTTAGACTTGCCATCCAAGACTGGCTTTGCAAATCTTGAAGGTTCGTTAATTCATATAGGCTAAATTGTTTTTTTTTTTATTATTATTATTATTACTATTAGATTGGGGCTAGTTTCGTTTTAGTGTCATGATTTTATTTTATTTTTCCCGGATGTAAATCTATCCTGTATCTAACAAAACATTGTCAATTTTATTTGATCTAAACCCTTAAGTTGAAGTTAGTCAACTTTAGTTTATGGAAATTGCCGATGTTACGCCATTCAAGTAGAATAAAAAAGATTGTATTTTCGCCATAGTTTCATGCCAAGAGAACAAAGGGAAAGTACGACATGGTCATCGTCTATGCCCCCGTCATTCTATCGTGGCTTAAAATGTTACGGGATTAAATTGAAACAAGTTCAGTATTTAGGGGGCAAAAGGAACAATTTTGCTGCTTGTTCATGCATGTTAACAAATATATGTGTATGCTAAGGCCTTATAAAGGTCACATTAAATAAAACAAATCAATATGGAACTTATAACATTATCACTCTCTTTAAGGACCGTCGTCAATGGCGGAACACCTCCTTTTTAAGAGATATGACACCTTAATCCATTCCGGCCTATAGGTAGGACCAACTCTAAATGAAAACACTAATTGTTATGAACTTTGTAGTCATCATTCCAAAAACTACCTCAAAAAATAAGAGTGTCCAAGACACTATGAACCTTACATTAGTTGCTCATACAATCAATACGGAACTCGTAACATCTAGCCTCGTCATTGTTAACCATTTAATGATATACAAGGTTAGTTGTTTTGCTGTTGGTTTTGCTTCCCTGAATCAGTGAGAAGCGATCAAGTTGATTGATTTTGCATTCGCAATTGCCACTGGAAAATCTTTTAAAATTCTAGAGCTTATAAAATTCTCTACGGAGATGAGTCTAAACTCTGCTTTTAATCTTGTAATTTATACTATGAATTGCCGATTTCTTAGCAAATTGCTTAGATCTTATGTCTGTAAACTAACGTAAATCTTTAGCGCATAATAACAAATAAGCTGGCAGTGTCCGAAATAAGCAATACTTAGTTCTAGTTGCACAATCACAAAGGATTTGTGCATTGGGAGAAAATTGTGGGAGAAAATAAGTATAATCCGCTTACATAAATACTTGTACCATAAAACCTTAATTGGAAGAGATCATCTTCTGTACATCTGTAGTAGGTACATCTGTCATTGAATAAGTGACACTTGGATAAAAAAATTATTTTTTTCTCCTTTTCATTCAAGCATGACAGTCATTCCTCATTTTTTATTGGATAGATGTACTGAGTAAATGGTACAACAGTAGTACCATAGATATTTCCTAATTGGAAGGGTTTTTCTGCACTGGAAGTGCAATAGTTGCTAAAACTTTGTTGCCTTCAGTTCAATGTTCAACTTGCTTCATCTGGAAGAAAGAAGGGAAGAAGTGGCATGCATTTCTGTTAAGTTAAAGGGGTGATCATCATCTGCTACTAAGTTCCCAAGTCTGGAATGCTCTTGGCTACCATCCAAAAGTGGATTGGATTCCGCTTTCAAGTTCCAAAGATGGAATTCCTTCTTGCTAGGCGTCATGTTTTCTTTAGAGCTTGTTTCAGATTTCTCAAGCATTTGATTGTTACCCAGATCATCAAGGTAGCTCTCACTGAACTCACTCTCGGTTTCTACACTATCCAGATCCAGGGACTTGACAATTCCACCTTGATGGCTTGGACTTGAAGATTTAAATGCTGCTGTGTCTATACAATGGTTTGAGCAAAATGATTGGTTTTCCTCATTTTCATGGTTGTTGAAGTCAGAGTTACATTGGTCAAATGTGGTTGGCAATGATTTTTTCCGCAGAATGCCACCTTGTGCTGGATTTGGCCTTTGGTAGAAACTCCCAAAACCTTGAATTCCTCTGGATAACTTCCGAGCACGGTTTCTTTCTTCCTTAAGTAGTGTTCTTTCTTCCAGCAGTTTCAATATCTGTTCTGATTTTTTCCTAACAGTTAGGCCCCAATTGAACCTGCATGCAAATACTCAAAAACATACCAACTGTCCAGAAGAAAAAAACAATAAAATTTGAGAGCAGTGTGTGATTTTAGATTAAGAATTGCAAAAAACATACCCACTGTCATCAATATACTGAAAGCAATTTATCTGACTAATAACATCTTTGTCACTCTGAAATTCCTCTGCAACACTTTCTGGTCCATGAGTCAAGAGGTGCTCAAGCACAACCAGTGAATTGTAAGAGGCCCTCCAATTCATCTTGTCAAATTTAAGTAGTCTGTTTCAGAATTTTCCCATTCATATATCTATAGTTAGATGATTAACATAAACAACAACAAAAGCCTTCTCTTACTATTGGCTATAAATGTGGTAGGTATACTAAGAAAAAAAAAAAGAGGAGCCAGAAACACCTTTTGTGCAGAATCTCTATAATCCTCCCATAATCATCTAACTCAAAAGCAGCCCTTGAAATTGTTCCGAGTGTTAGGGAATCTGGTGCCCATGGATTTCCATTTGTAACTTCTTCTGTCATCCTGCAAATAGTAAAAGGTCATGTTGAGGGGAAAACAAAAACTATATATCACAAATCCAAGAGCTAATTTGATTATGAAACACATTAAAGCGCAATCAAAATGTCAAAATCTTGTGATGGAGTTATAAAAGTGACAAGCTTACAGTTCTGCATGGGTAACATCGGTTAGAGCTAATCTAGCAGTCTTGAATTTCTCCTTGAGGAAGAAAGAAGCTTGCTTTTTAAATTCATGGAAGCTGCCGTTTTTGTTCAACATGAATTTAAAAAAGATCTAAACTTTGTTACTCCCTTGGCGAAGGAACTGAGATTAAAAAGGAAAGAGAAGAAGGGGTATAGAGAATTGTAATTTGGGTTTGGCTCAGAGTCTTTGAAATTGTAAACGAATATAAAAGCATGGCTTTGTGAAGTCAACATCACAGCCTGTTTTAAAGTTTGAATGTTGAATTCTGAAATTGTTTATTACTAATTCCAGATCTAGCAGTGTGTAATTTACAAGAGAAGACTATTTTTATTTTAGATCTTCAAGTCAATCATATATGCTGTTTCTGACTTTAAATCATCTTTGTTGATTTGAGCTCAAATTCATCATCAAAGAGTCAAACTTCCTACTGATCAGTTTTTTATAATTTTATATGATTTTATACGATTTCAATTTTTATGGAGGAATTACCTATTCATTATCCCTGCGTGAAGAATTAGTATCACAATTATACTTCTGATAAATATATGGCTTAAAGAACAAAAAAATTAAACTACTCTTTGGCTTTGCCGACCCATTTGCTATGCTAAGATGAAACTTAAAGGACAATGATAATTTGGACAAAGTCATAATCAATTAACTATACTCATTAGCACCAAACACCATGAGAAATTCCGCCACCAACTTTGAACAATGATTTCATCAGCAATGACATCGTGTGACACGTACTACAAAACTAACTCTATAAATTAATAATGATATATATAAAAAAAATTTCTTCACGTATTTCATAATATCCTATCCTTCCTCTTTTCAATGGTTGATATAGCTTGTATGACATTTGTGCGCACGACATATTTGGGTAAGAAACGTTTCCAAAATCAGAAACCGTTGTATCGGAAATGTGAAAATATTGTCCCTGAATTGACTAGCAATGATAGAAAAAAGCATCACGAAGAAACTTCTTGTGGATTTTTAGTCTCAACTAAATCCAGCCCAGATTTTAATGAATTTGCATATCAACCCAACTCTTTAGGAATTAGAGTCCACTTTCCTTCAACTGGCCCTTCGAAGCCTGTGTAGCACTTAATTGCGAAGAAAATTGCTAATTAGAAACATTCACACCTCTTACATTTACATTTACAGAATCTAGTTATAATCAAATAATAAAAATTGTGCAAATATGAAATGATATGTATGCTCATAAATGTGCGTATCTAGTATTGTTGTTAAGTCTATTAAGATGACCTTCTCCTATAGTTTGAACTACTACAAAAAAAGTCTCTAGTTTAGAAGAAATTATTATTTATTCCGAGAGTATTACATCACTATACTAAACATTAGAACATGTTACTGTCAAGAATATTTAAAAATTTCCCAAGATAATACTTTCATATATATTTTAGAATTTCTCTTGATCTCAGCGTTATCTTATTCTTACGGAATAAGTTCCGAATAGTGAGAAGGTAGAAGAAGACATTCATGTCTTTCCATTCTAATTAGAAATAAGAAAATCACACGTAACAAAGGAAAGATTCTCCGGTTGGATCAAGCGCTTAGGCCAAAAGTTATAATTGTGCTACTTACCCCTACTTTATTAGTCCAAGCTTTATCATTAGATCTAATTCCGACCCCACAATGGATCTTATCAATGTAGGATGTTGGCCTCACAACTTTCAACATCTACCTTTGCAAAGTGTCATTCCGGGGGAATTGAAATCATGACCTCACCTTTGATATCAAGTATTGGATCGAGAACTTATTATTAAATCAAAAGCTATAGTTGTTAGTCAGAGCACAATTTTTTTTACTTAAAGATGGCAAAACCAGTCAACTCGTCCAGACCTGTCCCGCCAGACCAAAAACATGTGGAGCAGGTTGACCTACCATTGGTGAGTGGGTTGAAAATACCAACACATCCCGTTTTGAGGCGGGTTGGCTCAAAAATAAAATATTAAAAATATCTAAATGTATTAATGTTAATCATTTTATTTTAATCTCTAGCATCTAAATTTTTCTCAAGTTTGAAAAAAGCATGAACCAATAAGTTAAATATGAAAGAATGATTTAAACCAATAATATCATTTAACATAGTTGTACAAATCATATCTTAAGATTAATTAATCATTTCAGTGTTATTATTAACAAAATAATGAAATCAAACATATAAATATTTGCAAATGTGTCTACCAAAAAAAATGTTTGCAAATGAACACATCATTGCATCCTTTAACTAGAATTTCATAAGCATTAGTTTGATTTGAATAGATTCTAGCATTTAAATCCAAAAGTGAATAAAAAATAACCTTCATAGTAATATAATAACACTATTAATGATGAAATAGTAACCAATTGGCTAAACAAAAATTACGAGAAAATACTATTTCTCTTTTCTGAATTCTATTAACAAAAAATAATCAACTAATAATAGGGTTCTCTAAGCAAAATTAAATAAAATGAAAATTAAATCAAATAGAATCAAAAGGAATCATGCTCAATCACAGGAGATAACGCACAATAAACGCACGATGAAACATAATCTAAGAAATAAAAAAGGTAAATAACTAACAATTATTGAAAAACCCTAAACTATAGAAAAGCTCAAAATTATTAATACCCATTGCAAAGCGATAGGTCTTGCTTAGAAGCCCATTCGAGTTGCCTGTCCAAATTTGAGTCCAATCCAAGTCAATCACCGAGGTGCATCATCCTCCCCTACCAAAAGAAGTTTCGTCCTCGAATCTAACGGGTCTTCATGGTTGCTCTTGCACCTTTTTCCCTCCTCGTTATCATGATAAGGAGACAAGTCAGCAACATTAAAAGTACTAGAAACATTGTATTCCCCAAGAAGTTCAATCTTGTAAACATTGTTGCTGATCTTCTCAAGCACCCTGAAGGGACTATTAGCTCTAGGTAGTTTGTTAATCCTGCTAGCCAAAAAATGATCCTTCCTAAGGTGGATCCACACCATATCACCGTCTTTGAAAAAAGATTTGATTTTATGCCTGTCAGCTTGCTACTTATATTTCATATTCTGCTTCTGAATATGATCATGAACCTATGAATGTAACTCATTTCGCTCCTCAATGCTCACGCTATATGTCGCTTTGTTGGGGGCGCCAAAAACTTGTTGCGCAATCGGCAAGTGTACCGATCGTTTCAAGTAATAAAAGGGTAAGTAGAGTATCGTCTCCAGGAGGATTGAGGCACCGAATTTATTATAACTATTCATCTCTTGTTGGATTAATAAGAAAATGGTTTAAAGACTATTATGATTTGTGAAATAATGAGAACAATTCTAAAAAAAATGTAAATAATTCAAAGGTTCTTTTAAAGCTCAAGAACAAAAGATTAAAGGTTGAGAAAATATTGCGGTAAAGAGAAACAAACACCTTTATTATCCCCACCTTGCAACTTCGATTACATTTACGTTTACTTATTCAATTGATCAAACGATTCATCATCTTTTATATGATTAGTTAAACGCTAATTCCTTAGTGACTTTAACCTTATTAACTCTATTAGAATCCTAATCCCTTAGAAATCCATTTTCAAGTTAAACCTTAGAATCAATGAATCTTTAACGTTTTCTATTCATGTAGCCTATCCCTATTGCATACATGAATAGTTATCTTACCCTTTGTGAGGAATTAGAATCTCAATATCCCTATTGAAAACCTTAACCCTAGCAATTCTACTAGATTGATCGGTTCTAGAAGAACTATAAGATGAAGAATAAAGCAAGATAAATTCAATCTAAATAAATAAACATAAAATCAACCAAACTACAAGGGGTTCAGATCAAGGGTTGTGACCCTTACCACAATAATTAAAAACTAGCCAGACATATTCATGTCTGACAAAATCAATACGAGAGAAAATAAATTTCAGAACCTAAAGAAGAGAAAGAAGATGAGGATCTTCCGTCTTGATCGTTCGAATCTTTGAAACTCCAAGAGGCTCCCAAGATTTCTCACTCTCTTTGTTATCTTTCTTCTCCTTGTTGTCAAAAGTGCCTCCTTCCTCTGTATCTGATCCTTTTATTAGGTTTTGGGAAAACCTAATTTTAATTGCTCTTCAATTGGGTCTCCTTTTTGAGTAATTCGCATCAGATTAAAATTAAAAAGTATCGCCCACGCAATTTGCCCCAGCACCCGCGCAAATTGCACGGGAAAACAGAGCTGAAACTGTCAAATGGCGCGATTTGCTCCAGACTCTGCGCAAATTGCGCCACCTTCACGCAAATTGCGCCACTCACCGCACAAATTGCGCCAGGAAATAGAAGTGATTTGGACCAAATGGCGCGATTTGCGCCACTCTCAGCGCAAATCGCGTGGAGATACAGAATCTTCAGGTTGAAATAGTGCGATTTGCGCCATGCTCCGAGCAAAACGCGCTGGCTGGAAAACTGCAACTTCTCTCATTCACTTCATTTTTTGTGTTTCCTGCTATTAAAATGCATAAATTGAGTGAGAAAATGATTAAGAAGGAATAATCAATATTTCTTGCATTTATGACTTACCTTCACACATTTATGATTACTTCCTTACTTCTTTTAACTTAGAAAGCAACATATGCTGGACGCATATCAATTCTCTAAGAAAAATTAAATAAAATGAAAATGAAATCAAATAGAATCAGAAGGAATCATGCTCAATCACAGGAGATAACGCACAATAAACGCACGATGAAACATAATCTAAGAAATAAAAAAAGGTAAATAACTAACAATTATTGAAAAACCCTAAACTATAGAAAAGCTCGAGATTATTAATACCCATTGCAAAGCGATAGGTCTTGCTTAGAAGCCCATTCGAGTTTCCTGTCCAAATTTGAGTCCAATCCAAGTCAATCACCGAGGTGCATCATCCTCCCCTACCAAAAGAAGATTCGTCCTCGAATCTAATGGGTCTTCATGGTTGCTCTTGCACCTTTTGCCCTCCTCGTTATCATGATAAGGAGACAAGTCAGCAACATTAAAATACTAGAAACATTGTATTCCCCAAGAAGTTCAATCTTGTAAACATTGTTGCTGATCTTCTCAAGCACCCTGAAGGGACTATTAGCTCTAGGTAGTTTGTTAATCCTGCTAGCCAAAAAATGATCCT